TGTCTATAGACTCTTTATTCGAGTCATCCTAAACAGGATTGACAGAACACTGGACAAAGGACATCCATGCGAACAAGTAGGGTTCCGAAAAGGATTCAGTATCACAGACCACATCAACGCGAGTACAAAACTCACTGAAGTTTCACAAGAGTACAAACTACCGTTCTGTCTCACTTTCATCGATATAAAGAAAGCCTTTAATTCACTGGAAACAGAAGCGGTAATAGAGGCTGTGGATAAGCGGGGCGTCCTCACTTGACATATAATGATACTTCGTGAGCTATATAAAATTTTTACGATCAAAATGGGGTTCGACAAGGCTATACACTTTCGCCGAAATTACTTATTGACACGCACCAAAACGTCATGCAACCATTGGAATGGGAGGATGTGGGAGTGAAAATTGACGGTTCATAATCAAACCATTTTCGCTTTGCTGATGATATCGTAGTCATGCGATCATTAGCCAAGCGGAATGAATGTTGATTGACTTCGACAACGCGTATGAAAAGATTTGTGTTCAACTAAACCTAACGAAAACGATATACATGAGGAACGGATGGGTTTTGAATGCCCCATTGACGCTCATCGCAACGAAAATCTCCGAATGCGTCTATCTATGTCGTGAAATCAACATGATAAACGACCTAACTCCAGATTTGAGCAGGAGGAAACGAGCGGCTTGAGGAACGTTTGAGAGCATCGAAGATGTAGTGAAGAGTACTGAGAACATCCAACACCGTGCCCACCTTTCGACTCAACGACTATCCCTGCCCTAACGTATGCAGCAGAAATCTTGTCGCTACTTAAGCAGGATGAAAGATCACTTGGCGTTGTTGAACGCGCAGTCGAATGCTCGATGCTAGGAGTATCCCGTATCTCGCAAATGACAGAAAGGATCCGAAGTTCCGACCTACGTCAACGATCAAAAATCAGAGACGCCGTCCTACACGTCAGGATATCAAGAATAAGGTGTGCCGGACACATGATGCGCTTCAACGACAACCAATGGACGAGAGCCGTCACCGACTGGATTCCTCGGGACATCAAGCGCTTCACAGGAAGACCACCAAGCGAATTCCTAGAGCGAGGAGAACCCATTGGGCTACTCTTACACGCGACAGGGAAAAATGGAAGTGTTGCTGGTAACCTCTCAATTCATTCGACGATCAACGGGACCACAGGTGATACAGGTGAGCTATAAAGGCATCCTTCCTATCACAGTTTGTACGACCAGCAGTTTTATCATGGTTCGAGAAAAGCTGAACAGAGAGTTGTGGACTGCACCTGCGTACATCAATATTTCGTAGGCGTAAAGTTGATTTGCTGCACTGATGTAAGATCGCCATATATAATTCACTCTCGCTTGGCATACAGCCATCTTAAGAGACATATTGATTACAAGAAAAACCAGTAGTAGACAGTTTTCATTTGAGAACCTTTGTAGAATTTTATAGGTCAAATCGAATCGAGTCAGATGCATTTTAACCCTACACAAACTAAATTCGTTGTTGGAAGCCCGATATTTACTGCAGAATTTCTTTTCGATCTGAGTGGATAGTCGAGAAATCTAAGACATAATAGAGAAGGCAAATCTCACTCTATACTGGATACAGTGGATTCTGATCCTAGATGGTATCTTCACTGACGCATTTTCCAAAACAACGAGATTCGAGAGAATGAACAGCCTCAGCGATCGTTCCTCTCTCGACTCAATTTTTCGACTTCAAAAAGCTACTCTGAAGTCTCGTCATCCCTTCCATCTATGCTCACTAACCAATAAACAACACATCGGATCGATCGATACATTGAATCGATAGCAGTCACACTGAGAGGGATGTGGTAGTGAACATGTATAGATCCGAAAGAGATTGAATCGATGAAAAAAGATTGAAGTATCAACATACATCGAATAAACTTAATAAATTGATTCAAATCATAAAGTCGCGGCAGAAGTGCGAATAATGAAGAGTTGACTGAAACCAAATCACTCGGGAAAACCTGCTCTCAATGTTCCGCTCAAAGAGAGCAGCAAGCACCCAGGGCGTTATCAATTGCTGAACCGATGGAAGTAGTTCAAGAGGATGCGGCAAGGAAGGCTTCTTCACAGCGCTATGTTTCTACATCAGTTTGAAGAGCGGCTTCTTTGATAGAAGCAGGAGCGGTAAAGGAATCAATATAAGCTGGATGATAAAACTTTATAAGCAGCAATAAACGGAAAGGGATACTCTTATCAGTCAAATACTCCATCGAATTTTCGCAATAACGTGATCAGTGGCCAACACTTGACCGCTCATAACTAATAGAATAAATTATGCCCTTCCATGCAACTGTAATGTTGGGGATTTTTATAACCTAAAATGCAATGATTTCAAATAATTTCGCGTCGAATCCTTTATGTGAAGGGGATATATCCTCCTGAATGGGATTGACTGAACCGAAAGCACCGTGCAACCGATGGAGCTGTAATGCCGAAAGACGTGTCTGGCAGTGTATTGGTGCCATATCAGACCTCATTAAAGGCTCGAGAAATGAAAAAATCTGATCTCATTCGCTGCGCAAAAACTTTTCATACGGGTATTAGTAATTATTCAAAAGCCTGAATTTCTTGCTCGAACAGTACGTGGACGATTTTTGCAAACACTTTCCTATAATGCTGTAAAATTTGAAATATTATAATATTCACCTATTTCTCGCTAAGTAGACCTCTTGCCTTGGACTATTAGTAATAATCGGTATTCGATAGCGTTAAGTTTGCCGATTCCAGGGCTGTGCTCCTTCTCCAAAAAAAACCGTTTCTCTGCGACACAACAGGGGAAATAACATTGATTCACATGAGCGAGTAAAGTGGTATTTGGTTAAATCAGCATTCATTTAACGCTGGGCTGATACGGCAGCGGAGGTTGCGCATTTAACGATCAATTTCGACCGGTCTTATGCTAGTGCAATAATTGTTAATCACCTAAAAGTTGTTTTTCCGATTGAAAGGACAACTCCAGGTAAAAAGTACGACTCTGCTGCAAAAGGTTTCAACGGATTGACGTCCGCTGACCCAAGGGCGTTCTGTCTAAGAGCCTCCATCACGTCTTTTCCACTTGGTTTCACTACAATATGCTTGAATCACTGATGCACCAAGTCACAGCATATCTCACAAAGTAATACCGTCACACAAGCGCTCAAGTTTTATGAAATTCATTCATCGCCACTTCTTGAGCAAACCGCAATTTATAACATCAGTTTCCAACAATCTGTAACCTATGACAACATATTATGCATACATATAACATGGGGAGGCAAAAGCAATAGTACAATTCAAACAATACGCTAATACAATCAATGCAGTACAGATACAATGAATACTAACGAAATATGTTTCTCGAATACAGCCAACTACGTAAGGTCGCTAGGGCTACAAAGCTGTGCGGAATCGTAACTTTCGGCAGAAATACGTTTTCCATCGACCTCATCTCGTATTTGTATATACAGCATGATGTTGAGCATAAAAGAAGCGTTTTTCAACCGACATCTTTTTATAGCACTCACATCGGCGACGATTTTCGCATGGAACCTTTTCGACAAAGTCGCTTGTCGTCGTGGAATTCAATTCGTTCTTTGTTGGCGCAGTATTCCATGATTGTTCAACAGTACTACGTTATAAACGAAATTGAAGAAGCGCGCACGTACCTGAAGAAAGGAATTACAGATTGCAAAGCTGAAAAGTAGCGAATTGCATGTACTATTCATCTTTTAGTCCTTCAAAAAGCTCATATAAAGCTCCAGAGCAAACTTACTAGTCGAAATATAATCACGAGAATAAAAAATGTCGTCCGGTTGGCTACCGCATTTTCTCAGTCCTGCATCAATGTTGCTCAGAGAGGCTCAACACTTTGGGTACGACATGTTCACGGCGCTAGCTCCATCCTACCGCGAGCGGAGTCCTTTGCCCGAGTGCTTAGTGATGCTTGTCATTGGGAAGGAGATTGCTGGCCCGATATACCATCACGACGCCTCATAGCAAATTTTTTGGAGCTATGTTTTGTGCCGGTTAGCACTGAAGGTATCTCTGCAATGTAACTATTGTAGCGAAACGCTCAGTTGTCTAAAATTGCACTATTTTTTGAAGCGAAACATTGATCCGCAAGGTAACATATTCAACCTTTTCTTCGCAATTCTTTTGATGACGTTGTTGAAGTAGAACTCGAAAACATATTCTCTATAGTGTTTGATATGAGATATGGCGTGATATTGCGTGCTAGTGATAAGTGCATAGTGATCTGAAAACAAGAAAATGCCCAAAAAACTGCGGTAAAGCGTCGTGGAATAGAGGCGGAAAGAACCCTCTTCCCAATGGCGATGGCCGGGACCACTAACCACTCAACACTACAGACTGTTCACCGCTCCACGGGGCTAGGGCTAACCCACTGGGCCTGTCGTAGAAAAAAGGGTGAAAAGTTTCCATACTGCATCGAGGAGATTGCCTCCTGTTCAAAAGATTAAACGATTGTATTTGAAAAGAAAATCATTGCGCCGTAGAAGGTAATCGCTCGAACTACGTCACCATGAAATATTACGGAACGAAGCTACTGAACGAAGACGAAGGAGGCCCCTTAAAAAGGCGCAGGAATGGGGCTGGTCGAGGGAAACATTTCAACAGCGCTCCTCCTGTGGATCCCAAAATCAACCGAATCTCCGCTAAGGTGGCGGTTTGGAAACACTGCCTACGCTACTTATAGAAGTCGGTGCCCACATAAGATATGTAGGCCAGAGAGCTGAGAAAAGAATAAGAATCATTACGGATTTAGTGGAAAATAGAAACGACTGCCCCTTCAGCCAATTATTTATCCATTAGATCAGCGACCTGGAGAAAAAAAGAAAACCAAGTGTAGCTCACGTGAAAAGTATGACCTAGAAAATTAGAAATTTCTAGTATTTTTACTGCATTTTTCGCACTCTTATGGTCATTCATATAATCTTAAGAATTGAGCGGTGAGCAAAAACACGCCCTCAGGCGGGAATCGAACCCTCGTCCATCCTATCCAAGGATGCATGTTCTACCACTACACCACGGAGGTACATTTGCTCCACCACTCATTCACTGCTTTTGCTCACCCTTCAATTCTCTTAGGACTAAAAAATTACTATAATGCAGCCTTAGACGCATGCACATCAGACTTATCAGAAAAAAATGACTAGAAGAGATCAAAACGAGACAGATTTCTCCGTATAGGTAACTCCAAAGTTTTTTGTCTGCACTAAGTGAAAACACTCGGCAAATAATCGAAAGGAGATTTAATTTGGAGAAGGAACGTGAGGAACGAAGTCGACTCAGCGCTTAGAACACTTTACGGAAAACTTTGGGAGACGTGATGATTTACAGCAAATACGCTATATATTACGAAATTCAAAAGTATTTTGTACATGGAGGAATCTTTCAATACTTCGACAAACGGTTGATGGCAGCGTAATCAGACCCAAGACAGTAAAACAAAGTCCACAGCGATACGGACGAGAGTAGAACAAAAGCAATTGTTAAGTCACTTGACAGGGTAGCAATAGGACAACACGAGACGATTTGCAGGACCGCAGCGAGTACGGTACGGGGATGAGTGCTGCAGTGACGTCATGCCACGTGAGTGGTGCGTCTCGCGGCGTATCCTCCATCGATTTTTTCGACTGCGTCAGCGTCACGCTGCGCTTGCCGCCGATGACACCCTCGCAGTGTGGTCGTTCCCGAGAGCAACCAGACGACCCGTAGACGGCGTGCAAAACGGTAAGTGTTTCTGAAGAGAAGCTGTTGTTTACTAATTCTTTATACACTTTATTAATCAGTCATCACAGCGTTTCTTCTTTCAATGTGCGATTCCAGAAATCTTGCATGCAACTCGTTTGTAGTCTCCTTCTTGAACACTGTAGAACACTGGTTGAGCAAGTTTCTAGCGGTCCCGAGGAATGCGTGGTTGTAGCGTTCCATAGGGCATTAATGTTAACTGCCGTAGAGTGTTTGAGGGTAGAACCCGACTTCACGCGCTCCGCGACGAGTATCACAGCCACTCGGTCAAGACGCCCTCTTGTTTACTATGCAGACTTAGATTTTCTATCGAATTATCTGCTTCTTGTTGAAAAGATAAGAGTGCTTGATTAAGTGATTCACATGTCATATTTACCTTTCTAGAGTTTACAGACGCTAAAGCAGCCTGAGCGCGCCAGCTAAGATTGTGCTGACTGCACACAACCTCATGTCGGCTCACCAGGAACGTCTACGACAGATTCAAATGCCAGAGAAATACTGACTTCATTGAGGTATGGTTCTTATCAAATGAAATCATTCGTTTGTTAGGAACGACTTTCTGCATTCAAAAAAAAGTACATTATTTGATAGTTCTGTACCGGAATACTGGCAGTGATGTTTCCTTACATTGTCAAGAGTATACTTGAAATCAAGATGAGCAAGGCACTTTTTCTAGACACTTCATTGATTCTGCTGATCCTAATACTTCTGACAGAATAATCTGGCCGTGGTGTCTCATAAGGCATTGCTATTAACTGCCTGAGAGTACATGAGCGTAGAGCTCGACCCCGCGCGCTCCGCGCCGAGTATCACTATTACTCGGCGGCCAACCCCCCCCCCCCCTTCCCCCCTGCTGTTTACTATACGAATTTAGATGTTTTCATCAACTTTCTTCTTCTTGCTGAAGAGATAAGAGTACTTGTTTGAGTGACTCTCATGTCATACCTACCTTTCCAGTGTCTGTGAAAGCGAAGCAGACGGAACGGCGTCAGCCAGTATGGTGCTGGCTGCACACAACCTCGCGTGGCCTCATAAGTATCGCCATCGGCAAGTTCAAATGTTACGAAGATGCTGACCAGATAAAGGTATGATTCTTACCAATGAAATCATTTATCTGTTAAAAAAGGCTTTCTGCTCTCAAAAAATACGTTGTTTGTTTGTTGTGGATCAGAATACCGCGCAGTGATGTTTTCTATCATAGCTAAGAGTGTACGCGAGAGCAATACGAGCATGGCACTTTTATCAGAAACTTTATTGTTCCGTCTTAGCAATGTTTCTTCTTTCTTTACATTACGGATCCTATCGCTTCTATAACAATTCATTTTTTTTCTAAATTACTCCAAAGAATTATTCTTGTGTCATTCTTATAATACAAATATACGCCCATTCTTTCTTTGTCGTCCTAATGTGCGTATATTTGTTTCATAAGAAATACGCAAATATGCGCACATTGGAACAACCACATCTTAACATCTTTTCTTAAGAACGATAAAAAACATGCGCACGGACGTTTTAAGTTAAGTCCTTGACAACCACATGTACCGCTTTCGGTGCAGAGCGTGCGCCGCGCTCGCGGAGGGCTGTCGGCGGGTTGTTAACGACATGCTTCTATAGAAATAGAAATTTCATCGCTAATATGAGGTTCCAAGAGCACATTATCAGCGTTAGGGAATATTATGGAAGAGATTTCTATAAAGGATTTTTTGGTAAAGAAAACGTCCACCTGCCAGAAAACACAGTTTGTTTCAACTAATTAGACACATCTTTTCGAAAGGAAACTTACCTCCAGTTGTTAAGTTGCTTATTTCTTTTTAATTTGTGTTTTTGTACTCACTAAGAGCTTAAAAAATTTAAATCGTGGCATCAAGCTTGATTTGTTCTTTGGACTTTCATATTACATTTTCCTGAAAAAGATAGAGTTTTGTTCCTGAAACGCGCTGTTTCATTTCCACAGCAGATTTTTTGGCATTATATACTTAAAGTTTGCTGTCAAATAGACTTCCTCGCTATGAAAAATTAGACTGCCATTGAATGAGCTTCTATAAACGTATTTTTGTTGAAAATACCGCTTTTTCCGTCTACACTTGAAGGTCTACACTTTTCAACACGAATTGCGTAAAATCGCTCATATTTGTGTAAAAATGGCTCGTGTTTCTTTCCTTTTTTGAAAATGAGCTTATACATCTGCTAGTAATTACTTGCTATCTTGAGAATTGTAGATTTTAGCAATGAGCTTGGTTTCTGAAAGTTCTAAGCGATAACTAAACAGAGAACTATGTTTTGCTTCTGGAATAAGCGGCTCCCACTTTACAACGAATTTTCGAGATTATATCATAAATTTTGTTCCTAAGAAACCTCGATTTTGGTGAAGTTATACAGAAGAAACTTTTACAAAGAGTTTTATAGTGAATAGTGACAGGCCGTTTTAAGACTCACTCAGTTTTCTAGCCGATCCTATCACGCACTGGAATATTTAGATCACTAAACACAAGCTACATAAATAAGACGGTAAAATTGTCAAAATACCAACAGTATAAGATCATTTCATTATTATTTGAGCCACCTTGTCATATGGTCTGGTAAGGACTCTTTTACACCTCGATACACGTGTTTCGTCCTTACGGACTCGTCAGTCGGGCAGAACCCGTCGTCTTTCGATATTTTTGAAGTCAGTTCTCTCAAGAGCTCTGTTCCTTTACATAGAGTTATCGAAAATGTACGTTTTACACTCTGTGTCAAGTGAAATTTTCACCTAACACAGAGTGTTGCGCACTCGATTGCTCTTTGGGTGGTAATTTTATCATTATACCGAGAGAACTGACTATAAAAAGATCGAAAGACGACGGGTTCTGCTTGGCTAACGAGTCTGTAAAGACGAAACACGTGTATCGGGCTGTACAAGAGCCCTTACCAGACCACATGACATGTTGGCTCAATTAATAATGCGTTTGAAATATTGTTATTCATTTGGGGGGTTTTTCACCATATCAATAGAAGCTTCAGTTGAAAACGTAGACTCTGATGCTGCCGGCCGAATATTATCTACACGCTGATATACTTTTCGTGCTCCTAGCGATTTATACGCATGGTAAAAATAAACACGAAATTTTATTTTTTATGGTTCATCGTTATAAGAGGGTGCTATAGAAAACCGGTGACGTGAAGTTGTAGCTAGAGGTTTTGGCTATCGAATGATTGCTAACACTTTTGTGAAAAGCTTTTGTCCAGCGAATGAGATCGACTCAAGAATTGATTGCCGCCTAACATATGAGTTCCGAAATTTTTACTTCATCCTTATAGTATTATAAAAACCATTTCGAAAACAAAGCATGCTTTTTAGGTTTTCAATATTCAAGCTGTTGAATAATTACTGAAACCTCGAAAAGGAAAAAGAAACATATTTTTCAATATGGGTGTGGATTGGGAGAAGTAGCGAGAATACTTCTTTGGAGACACATATTTCTGACCATTAGTTTGCATAATGCCAACGTTCGAAGTCCTTTATTCAAACACATTTGTCCCTTACCGTTACTATCCATAAGTGCTCAACCTTTTCTCAGGTGCGGCAACTCTGAATAAATGGAAATAAACGAAAGGTTGACACGAACTTTGTTATACTGATAGTTTTCGATGAACAGGGATCGGATACAACATGCCAAATGATTTTTGATAAATTGTCGGCTGTTCTTCAAAATTTAATTACTGTGACGACTCTTGGGTCTTGTATAATACTAGGGAAAAGCAAAACTAGAGATTTTCCTTTGACCACCTTTGTGCAATGCACTTCAATTGACTGAATGCCAAATTCAGTACGATTGCATACTGAACGAGAATTTCTCTCCAAAGAAGACATGTTTAACTAAACCAAAAGCATATGAGCTCGTAGCGTAAATCTTGTTCTATCGAGGTAGTACCAACTTTCCGAAAATTTTTGCCAAATAAGGAAAAAAAGTCTTAATCAGACATTGAAAATCGCGCTATTCGCTCTGTTCGCATTGATTTCTATAGCCGTCCGCTAGGGATCAAGTGTTAGCAGTTATGTAAAATCTCAAATTTCAAAGATTCCAATGGTGTGCTTTGTTTTTGAACCGGCTTTTTCATTGCGGTTTTATGATTAATTTACTGCTTTTTTTTATTTTATTACTATTATTTTTCATATTGTTATGATCATGATTGTGATTTATCATGCTTTTTATGATTTAACTGGCTATTGCTTTGATCTATTGATTCGTTTAGTTATTAACTTGTTTATTGATTTGCTATTTTTAGATAAAGCGTTGCAAT